ACTTCTTACTTTTGTCCAAGCTTCCACGGGAGCTCTGTATTCATGGAGATACTTCATAAAGCAGAGTGAGATATATATGCGTGGGCAGTGAATGTATAAACATCTAAAGATTTATTGGTATACACCTTGTGAACAAAGATGAAACCAAGTCCGGACATGAAAATAGAAAGCACATCATTCCAATAACAGAAGCATCGCCATCTAGGAAACTAAAACACTCACCATTAGCCTAATTAATTTTAGATTGGGCGCATACATTAGCAAACAACTTTGAAGAAAGGGGTCGCGCATTACATAAAATTTCAGATGAAAAGAAAGAGAAGGTAAGTGACCTTAGAATTTATGGATGAAAAGCTTGCTCCAATAATACAGAACATTGCTGAACTATGCATCTCCGAAATGCTGAAACCCATGGTACACCATGGCACTTCTCCGTTTCCAAGCCCATTCAATGCGTTGATGTCAGGAATCAATCAATAGATCTACGTGTTATTTGAGGCATAAACTGGGTTACAGATTGCAAGAATTGTTTCCAATTGAATCAGCCACATCCATCTCGAACAAATTAACTAAGAAATAATAACCTGAAACTATGAGTGCTCACCAGTCACCACTGGCTGCAGCTCTAATGGTAATCCCCTCCTAGCACCAGCACCTCGAGCTACTGGACGCAAGCGTGTGTCAATGTATGTTTCCTAGTTAATTGGATCAGCTGCTCAATTTCAAAAGGGGATTTGGCTTACAGGGAGTAGCTGGGTGACTTTCAGGTGTGCAGCATGGTACCTTTTTCGTGATTTATGGATGAAATTGGATGCGAGCCATGATCACCAAACAATTAAAAATGAACTATTTCTATATAAGTCTACAGATATATTTTAGTGGCTCTTGCAGAGTTCATAGCTCCAATAGATCTATTGGGAAACTTACAAAGATAATAATCATAACGTACTATGTCCACTAAATTGCTTCACAAGATTGTATGGTGAGAACAACTAATAGGATTTATTTTACCTGGTTGAAGGCTTGAAGCAGGCAAGAAAGGACTCCATGCATTTTCTTCAAGCAATTCATCAAACATTTGGTGCGTGCTCCACTTATCATGAAACCATAACTCGACATGTAGTACAAGTCCCCTAGTAATCAAATTTATAATCTGCACATCAAGTAACTTTGATTATTATGTAACAAACTACAAATTTCCTATTTTGTATTAGACAAATCGCAAGAGTTGATGTAGGCTTTTGTGTTGGAGCTGCAGTTAGAATCAGCAAGCTCACTCTCTCCCTCACTGGCACGGACGAAAGCACAGCGGACCAGTGGAGCAACGCGCTATCCAAATCAACAGGGCAGAGTTTGTGTTTACAAATAAAAGCACAAAAATGAAAATAGCACATCATATATACACTGTTTGTGTTTGGAAGGATATCAATTAAATAAAAATAGATCTGTTAATGGACTTGTTTGTGTAGTAGCAGAATTTTGTTCAAAATAAAACTGGACTTGTGCTAATGGGAGAGACAGAGAGTAGATGGGGGTTGCTTGACCTATCTTGGTGTAGCAGAGGCGTCATCCGAGGAGGTGCTTATGGCTAGGGTTCCTCCCTGTTGACCTGCACGGGAAGGGAAGGAAACGAGATGAGGAAGGGACGGGAAGGGGAGGGGAGGGGATGTGGACAAGATAGAACCTTGGAGCTGCAGGTCCATGGCGTCCTCCACATCTCCGTGAAGAAGCCCTTGATGGCGGCGACCATGGTGGATGGGGAATTCGCATGGCGTGCTCCATCTGCATCTGCAGCAGAGGACATGAAGAGAATGTGAGGTGTAGGGGTGGTGGATCCCAGCCAAGAAGGAAGGAGGGACGAACCTGGGCCGCCGGAGACGCGCCGGCGAAGCCCTGCCCGAAACCCTAGCCATGGGGGTGGCGTTTCGAGCGGGCGGTAGAGGCCGGGAGCGGAGAATCTGGCCGGAGGGTAGGGAGGAGCGGACTCTGGGGAGTTGGGGGGCGTGTTGCGCGGCGTCGGAGCTCGCCGGAAGCTGCCGGCGTGGGTGGTGGCGGCGGCGGCGAGGACTTGAGCGAGAGGGAGAGGAGGCGAGCCCGTTCTCCTCCTTTGGTCGTGTTTTTTTCTTTACCCAAATTTGCTCGGACCGCGGGTTGAATAATCCAAACGACAGGGTGTTTTGTGCAAAAACGAATCGTTTTCCCCGATCCACTTAAACAGGGACTGCGGGTTGAATTCTTGAAAATAGAGGGGCTTTTTTGCAAAAGTGACGACGACGTACGACCAGAAGCACTCCGTGCTTTATTAGTAGGGAAAGATTGTGAACATTTTAGTTTTGACATCTGAAAACTTTTATTTTCGACTTTGTTTTAGATTTGAATTTGAACCGGTTTCGAACCAACGCGAGTTTAAGAACAGTAATCGTGGCGACGTTTCATCATCAACAGGAGATCACTGTAGCTTAAATATCCGGGCGTCACAAACACCAAGAGGAAAGAGAAAAGGTGCATGCCTTCCCAATCAACTATTGTGACGACACGGTCCAACTTCTCCAACGTGGGCTGCTGATGCTCATTAGACCATGTGCACCTCCTGCCATTGAGGTGTAGATCCTTAAGCTCTAGCTTCGCAAGCATCCTCCAAAACTTTCCCTTCATACGGCGGTTTATCCACTCATTGTTCTCATCGATGAGGTTGAAATCTCCGGCTACCACCCAAGGGTCAGCATGCATGTCCCTAATATTATCCAGTCGCAGCAACTTGACAAGGCTGAGGTTTCATGGGTCAAAATTATATGGGAAACTTATTATGATAATAGTCACCCAAGGGACAAAATGGTTGGATCTTTGTGGTGGAGAGTTGTGCTCAAATGCTACTCATTTACAAGCAACAGTTTATTTGTAAAGCTGGGAAGGGGAATACAATACACTTCTGACATGATACTTGGATGAGCCCCTGTCTGAAAATGACATACCCTGAACTTTTCGTCTTTACCAATAAGGAAATAATTCTGCACCAAGTAAAGGAATTTCAAGAGCCCGATGATATTTTTCTTAGACCATTATCTACACAAGCACATCAATAATTCACACTTCTTTAAGAAAACATCAAAAACAAACATCAGCAAGATCTCAAGGATATTTGGACTTATAAATGGAACACCAATCAGTACTCATCTATGAAGATGTACAAAACCATCCTTGGTCCCAGCCGGACTCATCATATCTCCAAATGTATCTGGAAATGCTCTGCCATGCTCAGACAAAAATATGTTTATGGCTCCTACTCTATGGTAGAGTTAATACCAAAAATTTACCAAAGACGAAATTCATGCATCTAGACTCATACAACCGTGTTCTATGTTCTGACAATGTGGAAGAAACACTAAAACATCTTTTCTGAAATTGTTTGTTTTCTCTAAACTGTTGGAATCATATTATGCCTTCAAAGAATAGAGACATCTCTAGCTACGATGATAGATGCCTGGCTATGCAAGCTCTACTTGAGGACATTGCGCTAGATATACTGATGCTGGACTGCTAGAGTATCTGGTATGTTAGAAATGACAAAAAATTTCTGCCAGCTTCTGCTCACATGAATGGATGGACTTTCCATCTAAAAGAAGGGCTTACCATAGTTGAGATTAGAGCCAAGCTCACAAAAGCACTCAAGATCAAGTCTTGGACTGGACAATACCTTTAATTTTTCCATGATGTTTCCTAGAACCGGCATAGGTTGATCTTTGGGTGTACTTTTCACATTGTTTGTACATATTTTATATTAATGAAAATTACCATAGAACGACTGCTCTACGTTTTTCGGGTCAAAAAAATAGTTGGGGGGTCCATACACCCTAGTAAACCACCAAGTAGGTCCGACAGCGAAGCTAACCTGAGTTGTGACCACATAGCAAGTGATGTGGAAATTGGATAACATCACCCTAGAGAACTTCCAAGCAAGAATGATGCCACCACAAGTGCCATCCACATAAAGATGATAGAACTCATCAAACGCGAGGCCAACACATTGCTTGATGATATGGAGTGAAGGGTTTTGCAACTTGCCTTCCTGGAGACAGACAACCACCCAGTATGCAACCACCAAGCCTGAAAGGAAAACCAATTGCATTATAGATGCATCCTCTAGCGTTCCACACAAGAATCACCGCGTTTAGTTCAACCATAGAAATAGCCTAGCCGACCAGCCACGCACACCCTAGAAAGTGGTGATCATCCGGGAGTCATGAAGTTTGAAAATCGACAAAGTCACCAAAAATGTGTCACTATAGATGAGAAAGTATCCTCCCAAAGTGTACTCTGTCTTAGTGAGCGTGTTTAAACCTGAAATTTAATCTTTCATGAGCCGAGCTGGCACAACCATCATCCTAATCATCCGACCATAAGTTGGATCTCATTTTCCCACAATATAGAATTCACATATACTCCCTCTGTATTTCTTTACAGAGGGAGTACTTGGTATAATGGTATATTTTAGTGATTTAAATGCTTTTATATTTTTTTTTTACAGAGGGAGTACTTGGTAGTACTTGGTATAATGATATTTCTCATTTTAGCAAGGCATACGTGAACCAATATGTCTTTTCCTTTAAAAATGTTCATGTATGCCTGGGTATAATGGTATTTCTCATTTTAGCAAGGCATACATGAACCAGTATGTCTTTTCCTTTTAAAACAAGTTCATTTATGCCTTGCTAAAATTGTATTTATGTGTTCAAGTACATAATTCAACTGTATCCTGTCCAAAAATTTAAGGCATATGCAGAGCAATCAGTTCTCGTCATTTTTACCAAGAAAATAAATAATTTTCATTCAGACCAAGTTCCTCGGTCCTACAAACAGAAATTGCAATAGGCACATCTGTAAATTCCAATCGGAACATGCTCTCATCAAAAAAATGGTGGAGCAGAGGTTCTCGGCTGCGCGCGCTCCAACAAGACGTTGCGGCAGGAAGCCCACAAGACGTTCACTTTTAGCTATTGCCATCACAACTGGGAGGAGATGACCTGCTGCATGTACTTGCAGCACCTCTGGTAGCTCACGAAGCCCATGAACCAGAACTCGAACCCGTCCACGGTGGCCATGTGTATGTACTTCTGCTCCGGGTTGTCGGCGTTCTCGCTCGGCTGCACCCCCTTGATCCTCCCCAGCGGCACCACCACCTTGTACGGCACCCGAGCGACGTCGCCGGCGGGCGAGGTGACGGTGAGGGACCGGTCGCTGCGGAAGGCGATCTTCCTGGTGGAGACGAAGAGCATCCCGGCGATGGGCCCGCTGGTGGTGTAGAGGTAGCACTGCAGCGCCTTCACCAGCCGCTCGCCCTTCTCGGCCGAGAAGGCCTGCCGGAACACCCGCTCCACGCCGCCAGCCTGCAGGATCCTCGCGCCCAGGCTAAGCTTCCCCTTCACCGTCTCCGACAGCTTCGGCCCCAAGGTCACTGCACGCACGAACAGGAACGCCACATACTCGTCAGCACACTGCCCGTTTTCCATTTGGAATGTAGTATTCGAGTTTGTGGTTTGCGAACGCCGACTCACCGTGGTCTCTGAAGCCCTGAGCCCGTCTGCCCAGCTTGTTCACCCAATGGATCACCTGACCCTTGCTACTGTGTTTGTAGCCGAAGGACGCGTAGGGGCTCGGGTGGGTCAACGAGACGGCGAGGCGGTCACCGTCCTTCTTGGCCGCCCCGGCGCCCCTGGTGGTCGCCTCCTCTAAGGCGTACGCCTTGGAGGTCACAGGCACTCCGATCACATGGCCGCAGCTCGACTTCCTCATGGTCAATTCTCTGTGTGCGTGCGTGTGAGAGAGGGAGGAGAGGGAGAGAGGGGGAGGGGTAGACTGAGCGGCAGAGGCCCGTTTTATAGGGTGCGGGGGGTGATGAAATCTGGAGCGAAAGTCTCGCAGGGGATTCGCGTCGAGTCAGCACCGGCTCATCGGCGCCGGAAAAGCAGAGGTTCACGTTCGCCAAAAGGGGCGGGCGGGCTTTAACGTGGGGCTGTGTCATCCGCCCCGATCGTGCGCGCGCCAGGGGAGGGGAGGGGAGGGGAGGAGTCACGTACGCGGTCGATCGGGCGGCCAACCGCCCGGGATGGAGGCATTGCTTCGATGTCGATCGATGGTGATTTGTCTACGTCGGCCGCGGGGAGGCCACTTTGGAGGCCAAGGGCAGCCCATGTGCTCGCACAATCTTAGCGCCGGGTTACAGGAAAAGATATATGTGGGGCGGAAAGGAGCTAGGCCCAGGGATCTTAGTATATGCAGATACGGATAAACTATGCTCAGGACTGATACCCACCGGTGCCCAACTTTCCTTTGGAACGAACATTTTGGTTTCGGAACCTAGAAGAAGCTACTAGTGGTACTCGTAGGAACAGGGCAACAGGCTTTGAGCTACGGATGTGTGTGCAGTGCATGCTGAGTGTCTGAGAAATCGTCGTGCACAGGGTATCTGCCTTGGGAGAATATCACATGAAAATCAATATTTGGAGAAACCGGTCAAAACCACGCGGAACACAAGGTTTTAAAGTTTGAAAAAAAGATCTCAAAACAAACACACGAGATGTTAAGGGAGTGGTATTCTATTGCCATGCGAAATTTAAAGTTGAAATATATTAGGGGATGCGAGCTATGTAAAAAAATAAATTCAAGCTAATTTGATTTTTCATAGCTCGCAACAGCTATGGCGGTCTAGCCGGCCATGGAGGCACAACTCTTCCTTGGGCTACAATGCAGGGTGGTGTGAGAGGAATCTGGCCAGCCAGGGAGGTGAGCTCCCTCGTTGGTGTCCACATGGAGGCGCGGGATCCCCTCCGAGCCGCTGCCGGTGCCTTGGGTGGGAAAGGGCTTGTTGTTGTTCTCTTTCAACGATGACTGAGGCCATGGCCAGTGACCGTTGTGTGGTTTCTACAACGTCGTTCCTCGCGGACTGGACCAGTTTGTGCTCCGCCGATCCACCATCAAGCGGGTACGATGCAACGGGAATATGAGGCGTGGGTAGCGGTGGACAGAGGGGGTGGCTTGCTATGCATCAGTGACATGTTATGGCATCTTCAACGCCGCACCGTAAATTCCTCCGGTATATGCCCTTTTTATGTATGGACGTGGTCCGCGGACATGATACGGGAGGGGAGCCATCCAATGCTAATCACAAAGTATGTGCTTGGGAGAAGAAAAAGTTGGTGGGACCATGCATGTGGTGGGATATTTGTGATTTAGTGTCTGGTTGAGAGGAGAGAGGAGAGGGGGATCATGCATGTGCTGACGGGAGGAGAGAGAGAAGAGAGGGACCATGCATGTGATTGGTCAACTGCATGTCCGGACTCCGGCAAAACTTCCTCACGTTTGTCTCTTGAATACCGGGCTACATACGTCTGGACTACTAAGCGGACATACACAGGTCCCTTTTGAATGACAAAATTGGTCCGGACATATAGTGAAGGTTTGAGGGTCCGCCTTGAAGATGCCCTTAGGTGGCTTCTTTGGTTCTGGGGTGGTGGATATGGTGGTGCCCTTGCGGCGGGTGCCACTATGTAGGTGCTCTTGGTTTGTCTTTGCTGTGTGGGTGGCGAGACGAGCCATGTGGTTGGAACCCGTGGGTGTGAGGTGGCGTCAAGGCTACTCCTTGACCATTTGGGTCTCTACCTTCTTCCCTAACCGTCCAACTTGGTGATGTTATAAGGCTCTGAGGCCGCGGACGAAAACCTGTGGTCCGACTTGTTGGAACAGTCAGTGGTGGCTCTATCGTGTCATTCCCTCCTTGGAAGCTTCGTCTTGTGAGCAAGGTCCCTACTTGCCGGTGATCTGGTGTGGTTGTGGACTATAGCCTCTTATCTTCGCGTTGATGGGTCCGTGGTCGCGACGGTGATGATCTCATAGTGTGCTAGTTCTACGAGGAGTTGTGTTCGGAGGCCTCACCTCAGGATCTCGTCATTTGTTTTTTGACCAGGCTTTGGGGTGTGTCTTCATCGTCCAATAGTGCAGTGCCCTTCGGTCCGGTGCAAGGGTCCAAGGGTCCCTTTCGGTGATGGAGCTGGTTGGCACGGTGGTGGTTTTGACTTTTGGGTGTTGGTTATGGCCTCCTTGGACGGCTAGTCTCCCTCTCATTTTGGCTCCGTTCTCTACTCCAATTACCTTACTATGGATGATGGCTTCGAGGACTCCAAGAGTTGCTCTAATCTTTGATTTGTTGATTTCTTGGGGTTTTATGGGCTTTTTTGCTATCCTCGATCGGCACCATTGTATCTTGCCATTTCCTTTGTGTGTGTGATCTTGTGTCATGTTGTGTGTTGGTTGTAATGCTCGGTTGTTACTTCATCTATAAAGCGGAGCGAAGCCTTTTTCGGCATTTTCTCAAATACGCACGAGTGTGTGTATCACATATTAAAGGAGAATGGGGATGAGAACCCCATCACAGTGTAGTTACAATCCACGTACACACATGGAGCATCGTGCCACCCCTACCGTTTAAAAAGGACTACTCGTTACCTCCCACCCTACTACATTCGCAAAGAAACCATCTAGATCTCCTGGGAGGATGCTTGCCTGCCGCCAGACCTTACACTCACTCACTATCCGTCGTAGTACCGCAATGCGATTTGGAGTTGGTCCCTCAAACACGATGGCATTCCGGTGTTTCCATGTCTCCCACGTGCTCAGGAGGCAAAGCGTGTGTGTCCTTCGGCCTTGCTGACCGGTGCCGCCATGGCGCAAGCACTAAACGCCCCACGGGTTCACCTGGCAATAGAGCTCCGCTGATCAAACTACGTGTTGCGAACGTCGTCGGCCACACTTCCTTGGGTCACAAATAATTTTTGAGTTAAATTAAGTAATTAACCAAGTGGAAGGACTACGGAATTAAATTAAGTAATTAATCAAATGGAATTGGAAGTCTTTTAAAATGGTTACCTGAACAAATGCCACGCTATTCCCAAAAATGTCATTGCAACTTCCAAACTTTGAAAAATGCCATCTAAGTTATCTGAACTGATTTGAAAATCCGACGTGGCTCAGATCCCGCGAGAGGATTTGTGCAAACGAATCCCATGGGAGATAGGGCGTTCGCTGGAACAACTCCTGGCCGACGTTCGCCAACTAAGATTTCCGACGTGGCTCGAATCCTGCGTGAGGATTTGTTTTTTTTAACAACCAAAGGCACCAAGGCGCCAATTCATTATCAAATACTACCTCCGTTCCTAAATATTTGTCTTTTTAGAGATTTCAAATAGACTACCACATACGGATGTATATAGACATATTTTAGAGTGTAGATTCACTCATTTAGCTCTATATGTAGTCACTTGTTGAAATCTCTAGAAAAACAAATATTTAGGAACAGAGGGAGTAATTCAGAGTTCAAACAATTTACATGGAGTGTTACAACTCCCTGAACATTCAAGCCAGCACATAGCAACTTCAAAGGACAACCTTTCTGAACATGAATCGCATTGCTACAGGAGACTTCAAGTGTCTGAACGAGAGGATTTGTGCAGACGAATCCAATGGGAGATAGGGCGTTCGCTGGAACGACCCCTGGCTGACGTTCGCCAACTAAGATTTCCGCTTAAAAATATCACGGGAGGGAGATGGAGAGCGAGGCCCCACGGGCGATGCGGAAGCAGGACGATCCAGCGTGTAAAACATTGACCTTTCCAGCGAAAAAATCTGGGGCATTACGGGGGCGCAAGTGCATGCGCAGCATTACCATGCCGGACTGGTCTCAACTTTTCCCGAGGATCCCACATCCAGTTTCCCTCCCAGCCCAAGTCTCCGGCCGGTCGCCGTCGTCGCCATATCCATCTTCGCTTCTGCCACGGCCAGCCGAGAAGTCGCGGCGTCCGCGTCGCGTCCCGCGCGGCGCCGAGTCAGCGCGGCTACGTGCTCGTCACCGTGTCCCGTACAGACGCATCACGCGAAATCCAGGCCCGGTCGATTTACCACCGCCGTCTCCGTCCGCAGTTACACCGGCAGGCCATGTTGTGGCATCGATCGATCTGACGCGCAGTGTGGCTAAGGTATTGGGATCGCTATGCTTTTGTCGGAATATCCGGAATGGTACCAATTTCTTTTTTGAGTACCAATTTCTATCCAACAATGCTGTCCTTTCAGCCAAAAGGGATGAATAATTAGTTAGGAATCAAGTGGCGTCTCCCTTCCAGACTGTCCAGGGTTAACACTTATGACACGGCGGAGTCACACGGCCCAAGTTGCTCTAAACATTTTTCTCCAGATTGAAGCAAAGGGGCCTTTTCTGACAGCACAACTAATGTTTTCTACAAACTGAAGCGAACCTACTTTTTTCAAGTACACGCTTAAATATTCAGCACTAAGAAATTGTATGAGCTGCCAGCTACATCGTTCATTCCGCCTCCTCTTCCGCCACTATTAGAGCGTGTTTGATTTCCTGCATATGGTCCAGCCTGCCCGCGCGGGAAAGATTGAGCCCGTTTGGTTGCGTGCGTTTAGTGTACTTTCTGCATGACATAAAATTTAAAGC